GACCAGCATAAACCAGCAAAGGACCAGCTTAAACCAGCATCCCAGCGTCAAAACATACCTAACCAGCATATGCTGTTTTTTTCAACAGGGAGTGCATTTCGAAAAACAGGAATGCTTTTAACCAAACAACCATGTGCCACTCTAGAACTTTACTCGTTGAACCTTAATTGCTGTGGACAAGCTGATGAAAAACAGGCCTGGTTCTTCTGTTATAAATAAGGCAAGAGTGACTGGCTTTATCTCTCTAGTCAGGTCAGGATAAAACGGGTGTGGTGTGTGTTTCTGAGATAAGCGCAGAGAGCACATTTGGAGTCTGCTTTAATATGTCTAGCTCTTAATGTTCAAAATACTTCCTTAGGGAACAAAGTTGATTTTATAAGGTCATTCAGTTTCACTGATAAAAGTGGAAGAAAATACAGCTGAAAACAATGAAACGATCACAGGTCAAATGTTCATGAATGGTTAAGATTTTTATTTTTATTTTAGTTTTTGAAAGAAGTCTCTTTTGCTCACCAAGGCTGCATTTATTTGATAAAAATACAGGAAAAATGGGAATATTGTGAAATTATTACAGTTTAAAAGAACTGTTTTCTATTTGAAAATACTATTTGAAAATACTTCAAAATTGAATGTATTGCTGCAATGGCAAAGCTGAATTTTCAGCAGCCATTACTAGCCTTCAGTGTCACATTCATTCTAATATGAATAAGAAACATTTCTTATTATTGTCATTGTTTAAAACAGCTGTGTTGCTTTGCAGAAACTGGGCAACACTACCATTCAAAAGTTTCGGTTAAGTAAGATTTCGAAAAGAAAAGGAAAAAAAAAAAAAAAACTATTCCATAAGGATGCATTAAATTGATCAAAAGTGACAGTAAATACATTTATAATACAAGAGATTTATGTTTTAAATAAAAGCCGTTGTTTTGAACTTCCTATGAATCAAAGAATACTCAAAAAATCAGTTTCTACAAAAATATTAAACGGCAGCATTGATAAAAAGAACTGTTAATAATTAATAGTTGATGTAGTAGTAAATCAGCATATTAGAATGATTTCTGAAGGATCCTGTGTTGAAAAAGTAACTCATATATTCTCTTGTAAATTAAAAAATAATGCGTTACTTTACTAGTTACTTGAAAAAAGTAATCTGATTACGTAACTCGCGTTACTTGTAATGCGTTACCCCCAACACTGCACACACATATATATGTAGCCTATATATATATATAAGCAATATCACACTCGTATAGCCTGTATATATATGTAAAACTGTTATCTTTACTTTCAACATTGATAATGAGTAATAAGTAAAGTTTCTTGAGCATCAAATCAGCATATTAGACTGATTTCTGAAGGATCACGTGACACTAATGTGTACATGGCTACTACAGGCAACTAATGCAAACGTGACAAGTGTATCAAATAAATACAGTACAAATGCATACTCGTTTAAAACAATTATTGTTACACACTGTAAAGAAATTAAGTACTATTTTTAAATATAATAGGCAGGCTGTGTATACTGTGCTGCACAGTAAGCACGCTAGTATTTCATAGAGAGCAGCAGCCAGTTTCTTTGAATCATGTTGTGAGTCTTTAGTCTGAGGGAAGGGCAGGCCTGCGTCACAGAATGGGCATGTTTCCTCAAACATTCGTGCAAGAGTGAGCCACTAGATTCCCTTCAGATTGTTCAGTCGTAGTACACGCCAGTATAAGAAGCGCTTTTTCCTTTCAATTTTCCCTTTTTTCTTTTCCTTTGCAGCGGGGAAGTGACCAATGAAGCTAATATGGGGAATATCGTTGTCCGTGTAACTTAGTGCTTTATCGTTATTTCATCATTTAAGTTTTTCTGTCGGTTGTTGTATATTCACGACAAGTGTTTGTTGCTGAAAAACCAAATCTATTCAAATAACGATGACAAGTGTGAAGGCTTGGCCACTGCTTCTACTGCCGTTTTCACTGGTCTCTATGGGGAAAGGTAAGCTGATTTTAAATGAAACGTCTTGAATGATTGTTTTTAAACCCAGTCAGTCTGTCAACTTCAGAAACTTTTCAGCGCGTTGAAAACAGCCTGCCTGAGCAATTTCGTGAACAAATGCCGCTAAACCACGAGACAACCCTGGGTTGAATTTTATGTTTTTAATAGAATCTCGAAAATTATTAGTCAAATGGAAAAATACCATTCTAAGAGCAGGGTATCAAAGACAGATATCGGAACTTTCCTGTAGGTGGAGCCACAATATACTGTACCTGTCAAGTGCATAAATGTAACTACTTGTAATACAAATAAAATGCATTTAAAGGGGGGATTACTGAGGTTAAGCTTTTTTTTTATTTGTAAGTCTCGTATGATCACCAAGGCTGTATTTATTTGGTCAAAAACACACTAAAACAGGTATGGTGAAATATTATCACTATTTAAAATAGCTTTTCTGCTTGAATAGATTTTAAAATGTAATTTACCTCTGATGGCGAAGCTTGAAAGCGGTGCTGCTTGATATTTTTGTGGAAAGAAACCGAGATAATTTTTGAAAGGATTATTTGATGAATAGAAATTTAAAGAGAACAGCCCTTATTTGACATAGAAATCTTTTGTAAAGCTATAAATGTTTTCCCTGTCACTTTTGATCGAACTAATGTGTCCTGAATAAAATAATTTATTACAAATCTTACTGACCCTAAACTTTTGACTAAAATCTTTTATTGTGGTTGTTGTAGCAGAGTGTCCATTTCCTGTTTTGAATGGCAAAATTGTCTTGTCCTCGGAATCCATACTGAAGAATAGCTTCCCAGACAATTCAGAAGCGTTTGTGGAGTGTGCTAAAGGATTTGAGAGAGATGAAGGTCCGACTTCAATCACCTGTGTGAACGGGGTCTGGAGTCCAGTGAAATTAACCTGCAAAAGTAATTCACTTTTGACTTCTAAATTGGGACATTCCCCTTAAAAGAAATTGTATCAAGTACTAAACTGCTATGTTTGCTTTCATTTCAGAGATTGATTGTAGACAACCTGAACTTTCACCACATATGACCTACTCCATACCTGATGGAACATTTTTTGGTGCCTACATTCAACCCATATGTGAGACAGGGTAAGGAACGCTGTGGCCCCTACTGTCCCTATTGCACTCATACTTGCAACTGATTCTTGTTTTTGTCTTTAATCCAGATATGATCTGGAAGGATCAAGCTACAGGCAATGTCTTGTTTCTGGCTGGAGTGGAAGCGCTGAATGTATATGTGAGTCCTCATCTTTGGATAGATTCATATAAGTGTTATTTTTAATATAATTTAGACATTATTATAGTGTTTCTTAATATTTTAAATTAATTTGATACATTTTTATATTTTCATCTTAGTTAAAGTTGTAGTAATTTTGTTCTTATCCCTTTTGTTTCTTAGTAAAGTATATTTATATAGTCTTTCATCATTTTTCTTTCAGTTATAGTTATTTAAATACATCAAGTTAAAACTAATTGAAAATGAAAACATTGCCTGGGCAACTTGCTGAAATAAAATATGTTTACATTTGATTTTAATTCACTTCATGTTTATATTATTTTGAGTTTTTTTTTTAATGATTTTAGTTTACTGTAATAACCCTAATGCGCATTCAGTATCAACATCTGTGTTGTCTAGAGCAACTTCACAGTCAGAGATGTTGTAACAGCTTCTCTTTCACCGTGTCTCTTATAGTGACAGTATGCGAATATCCAGATCCAATTGAGCATGGCAAGAGGGTTGCACCCAGTGAACCTGTGTTTAATGATGTCATTACATATTCCTGCGATGATAACTACATCCTCGTTGGCAACAGCTCAATTACATGTGGTGAATACGGGGTATATAGTTCACCACCTCCGGAATGCATAGGTCAGTTTTTGGAATTAAATTGTTGCACACATCTGAATATTTGGGTTGAAGTGTTCTGGAACAGTGTTGTAAATACAACTTAACCACTGATTTCTAGTCGTGTCTATTTTTAAAAGGCCAAACAAAGTAGTTTCGCTTTCACGTCGAAACACAGCATCACACACGGCGGCCTAGAGTGAGCAGAGGCCGGGGGCTAGAGTGAGGAACGGCCGGAGGGCTTGAGTGAGCAGAGGCGGCGGGCTTGAGAACGGCGCGGCCGGCGGATTCGACGAAGGAGCGTCCGGAGGGCTTGCGGCAACCACATGTGACGACCCCGGGCTGGACTCCGCTTCGTCCACGGTGAAAGCCGATCCGGTGATCCACAGCGCAAAGTTGTTGCATTTCCTCAGCGACCAGCACGGATCAGCTCCAGGCATGACGAAGCGGATATTGTCCTCTTTTGGAAGGCCAAACAAAGTAGTTTCGCTATCACAACGAAACACACAGCACCTTCATTTCTTTATGCACCAAGAGCTTGTAACACTCCAAAGAGGAAGGAAAAATTTAAATCGCATCATATGACCTCTTTAAACCCAGTCAGTCTGTCAACTTCAGAAACTTTTCAGCTCGTTGAAAACAGCCTGCCTGAGCAATTTCATGAACAAATGCCGCTAAACCACAAGACAACCCTGGGTTGGGATTGATCTGTTTCTTTGAGTTTTATGTTTTTAATAGAATCTCGAAAATTATTAGTCAAATGGAAAAATACCATTCTAAGAGCAGGGTATCAAAGACAGATATCGGAACTTTCCTGTAGGTGGAGCCACAATATACTGTACTTGTCAAGTGCATAAATTTAACTACCTGTAATACAAATAAAATGCATTTAAAGGGGGGATTACTGAGGTTAAGCTTTTTTTTTTATTTTTAAGTCTCTTATGATCACCAAGGCTGTATTTATTTGGTCAAAAACACACTAAAACAGGTATGGTGAAATATTATTACTATTTAAAATAGCTTTTCTGCTTGAATAGATTTTAAAATGTAATTTACCTCTGATGGCGAAGCTTGAAAGCGGTGCTGCTTGATATTTTTGTGGAAAGAAACCGAGATAATTTTTGAAAGGATTATTTGATGAATAGAAATTTAAAGAGAACAGCCCTTATTTGACATAGAAATCTTTTGTAAAACTATAAATGTTTTCCCTTTCACTTTTGATCGAACTAATGTGTCCTGAATAAAAGTATTTATTCGTTTACAAACACACACACACACACACACACAAATCTTGCTGACCCTAAACTTTTGACTAAAATCTTTTATTGTGGTTGTTGTAGCAGAGTGTCCATTTCCTGTTTTGAATGGCAAAATTGTCTTGTCCTCGGAATCCATACTGAAGAATAGCTTCCCAGACAATTCAGAAGCGTTTGTGGAGTGTGCTAAAGGATTTGAGAGAGATGAAGGTCCGACTTCAATCACCTGTGTGAACGGGGTCTGGAGTCCAGTGAAATTAACCTGCAAAAGTAATTCACTTTTGACTTCTAAATTGGGACATTCCCCTTAAAAGAAATTGTATCAAGTACTAAACTGCTATGTTTGCTTTCATTTCAGAGATTGATTGTAGACAACCTGAACTTTCACCACATATGACCTACTACATACCTGATGGAACATTTTTTGGTGCCTACATTCAACCCATATGTGAGACAGGGTAAGGAACGCTGTGGCCCCTACTGTCCCTATTGCACTCATACTTGCAATTGATTCTTGTTTTTGTCTTTAATCCAGATATGATCTGGAAGGATCAAGCCACAGGCAATGTCTTGTTTCTGGCTGGAGTGGAAGCGCTGAATGTACATGTGAGTCCTCATCTTTGGATAGATTCATATAAGTGTTATTTTTAATATAATTTAGACATTATTATAGTGTTTCTTAATATTTTAAATTAATCTGATACATTTTTATATTTTCATCTTAGTTAAAGTTTTAGTCATTTTGTTCTTATCCCTTTTGTTTCTTATGAAAGTATATTTATATAGTCGTTCATCATTTTTCTTTCAGTTATAGTTATTTAAATACATCAAGTTAAAACTAATTGAAAATGAAAACATTGCCTGGGCAACTTGCTGAAATAAAATATGTTTACATTTGATTTTAATTCACTTCATGTTTATATTATTTTGAGTTTTTTTTTTAATGATTTTAGTTTACTGTAATAACCCTAATGCGCATTCAGTATCAACATCTGTGTTGTCTAGAGCAACTTCACAGTCAGAGATGTTGTAACAGCTTCTCTTTCACCGTGTCTCTTATAGTGACAGTATGCGAATATCCAGATCCAATTGAGCATGGCAAGAGGGTTGCACCCAGTGAACCTGTGTTTAATGATGTCATTACATATTCCTGCGATGATAACTACATCCTCGTTGGCAACAGCTCCATTACATGTGGTGAATACGGGGTATATAGTTCACCACCTCCGGAATGCATAGGTCAGTTTTTGGAATTAAAGTTTTTACTCCAGTCACATACATTTTTTGTCCTAATTAGCTGCATTGAATGACAGTGGGAAGCTCCACCCACAAACAGTTGCATTGGTCCAGCATCTAGCTCCACACACTGTAGCTGTGTATAGAGTGCAACAGCCAGTTCCGGAAGTAACAACTCCATTTATTTTCTACATAGGGAGGTTGATTTTTAGCTATAATTTATAATAATGCACTCAAATATATTCTTATTGGCTGTTCTTGTGTGATTTGCACAACATAGTGTTGTCGTTTTTACTGTGGATGCCAAGTTGTTTTTCCACTGGAAACCTATCGCTAAGTAAAAGTATAAGTAATGGTGCTTCAAGATCTGACCCTTGATCAGTCTGAGCTTGTATTTGGACTCAATCACTGGTGTTGCAGCACCATCAGGGCACTGCATGTTAGAACTCAGCCTGCTGAACTCATCCTGCTATTCCTGCACAGCACAGTTGAATTGCATTGCCCTTTCACTTTATTGTATTTTATTGTTTTGTCCTCTTATTGACCTGTTTATTTATGTTCCATGTCATCTCTAGGTAACCTTCTACTTGAAGGTCCCCTTCTCCTTGTTCAGCAGGTCCTTCAGGCCTTTTGTGATTTATGGATTTTTTTTGTCTTAGTTGTATATGTTGAAGTGTTCTGTAATAGCAAGTCTTCAGTGACTCACCGCTCCCGGTCTGTTTCCTCCAAGCCCTACAGAATCAGCTCAGCCTCATGTTTCCATTTCATCATAGTCCTGCTGGTGACAGGAAGTTGTTGAAAAATATTTCTAGGGAGGCGATGTATCATTCTGTGAAACCATCATGGTGCAGGTTGGGGAGTATCGGATAGCTGTGCCTGGCAGTGCTGGAAGAACATTATACAAAATGCCATAAAAATGAGTGTTAATAGTGAGAAGAGTAAAAAACTTCTAAATGAGCACTACCAATCACTTTTAAAGGTGGGGTAAGCGATTTCTGGTAGCCAATGTTGACATTTGAAATCACCAAAACAAACACGCCCCTACCCCAAAAGGGTCTCGCCCCTATTTTGATAGCTCCGCCCCACACATACGTACGCAACCCAGGCAACGATTAGTTATGTGAAACAAAGCAAAACCAATGTTACACCGTGTCTACACCGGACGCGAGTGGCGCGGCGCGACAAAATACTATGGAACTCATTATAATCAGTGATGCTGTCTACACCATAGATATATATACACATCTATGGTCTACACTGGATGCGGCACGGCACGGCACGACACTACAAATCACCAACAGCGTCCGATCGCAGGCCTTCCGCTTCTTGAGTTCTCTCCAGCGCTGGAAAGCTGATCCGATATTTACACGGGTCCTACTTCTTGCCTTATTGCCTTAAGCCTTCTTTTGTTCCGCAAGCCTTTTCCTCATTTGTTTTTTTTATCCGCCTCTATCTTTCTGTCACTCGGCTCGGTTAATGTCCGTCCTATGCTGTGCACTGAACGCTCTCTCCTCCACATCATGAGTAGACACGCCCCTTACTGCTGATTGGCTACAAGTTTGTTTTGCTACTCAGCCCGAATCAGTTTGCTAAAGCGTTTTTGAAAAATCGCTTACCCCACCTTTAAGTTTCCAATATGCAGAACTTTTTTTTTTAGATAGATCGATAGATATAGATAGATGTAGATATGTAGACTTAATTTTGTTATCAAGTGACTTCATTTTTGCACATTTTATATAATTATTATAATATTACAATAAATTATAATAAAACGAATAAGTCACTTGACAACTAAATTGAGCCATTTATTGGTACACCTGATATTGAACAACCCGATTAATTCAAATTGAATATATCTGTAAACTGAACCTTCCGAACGCTATAATGAATGGGAATTTATATTCCAAGGTGTGCATTTGTGATATGAGTGATAAGTAGGCCTGTACAGAACCCGCAGCACTTCCTGCGCTGATTTTGAGGGAAACTCTGCTGCATTCTGCTTAGAGTACTGCTGCACTTGTAGCTAAAAGCATAATCAAATTAGATCAAATATGAAACGAATTTGTGAATGATGGGCGTTCCTGTTCTTCAGAAATCTGTGGATCTTTCTCCGGTGGTTTTGCATTCCATATACATTTTCAAATCAACTGAATTGTCTAGATGTTTATGCAACATGTGCAATGTTGAATTGGAGAAGATGGCAAAAGCAGATAACGACGTATTCATTTTTTTTTCAGTCATCATGACACTGACAAAAGCAAGCACCACCATAAACAAAGCCACAACAACAGACATGACAACAGCCTCCACCCGTTCACATGGTAAGGAGTCCAGCCCAGCTTTTCTTCAGGTTTCACACTAATTATTTGTTATGGTTATGTTGTAATGGTTATTTGATTATGTGTTTTATTGCAGGAGGACTTGTCAAAAAGCTCACTATTGGCTTAAGTGAGTTCATCCTTTAAATCCAGTGATACTGTACTGAATTCAATGTCTGGCTACATCACCCTCAGGAAAGTAATGCAGTTACTGTAGATGGAGGTGACTTTAGTTTGTCGTACAACATATGTCACCATATTATATAACAGTCAGTGATGATAATGGCTTATTTTGTCTTGCATAAGTTCCAAATAAGAGGAGTGATCACTACTATAACTGAGGGCCACCACATACTGTATCTATTGAAAGTTCATTTCCTTTTGTTCATGTGTCTCACTGTTATACTCACTAATAACACAACTGATCTTATATGTTGCAGGTGCCTTATTGTGTATAGCCATTGTCTGTGAGTATATGAATTATTTGGATTGAGCTATGTACAGTATAGATAGTATAGTATATACCAGTTGTTTTGGGGTCATTAAAAATGTTTTAATCACTTTTTATATTATTCTATTCAGCAAGGATACATTAAATTGATCTAAAGTGACTGTAAAGACATTTATAAATGTGCAGAAGATGTAAAATTCCTATCACGGTTTCCACAGAAATATCAAGAAGCATTGAAGACTGGAGTAGTGACTGCTTAAAAATTCTGATTTGCTTCAGGAATAAATTGCATTTTAAAATATTATAAAATAGGAAACATAAAAATAACAGTAAAATTGTAAAAACTTTTCACATAAGAAACTTTCAACAATGTAAAAAAAAATCATACTGACCCCATATTTTTGAATGGTACTGTATGTTGTCATGCTTTGGTGCCTTTGATTGTGATGCACAGCTGTTCTTGACCCCATTCCAAAGCATTTGAAATTTGAAATGATCTTACTCCACAGTGGGTGTGTGTTTTGGATATCGTAATTTAAAACGCAGAGGGTGAGTATATCTCTTAATCTGTCGATTGATTTAAAATCATTCTAGCGCAGCTAAGCATGGCTGACTTTCACTTCACTTCAACTGCATGCTGCTGTACACATGCATTCATCCACACATTAACATCAGGTTTCCTCTTGCCATTTCCTGCATGAATCCCATCTTTTCATATGAGGATGAGGATGGACAAAAAAATACACACGCACTTTGATTCATGTTTTTATCAATCAGAAAACTATCTGTCCTTGTGCTTGATTTGTGGCTGTGGCACACTTTGAATTGTTCATTTTTTAGTTTGATTCTCTTGTACAATGACAGAAGAAGTGCTTTTGGGCTAATAAAGCTTATACAATATCATAGAAAATAAAGTTTCACATACTGTACTGGTTTGAAGGAAGTCAGAAAGTCCATGCAAGTTCCTACCTTAACATTCCCAGCATGCTCATCATGAGTTAATGGGCAAACAAACTCAATCTCAAGTAAATTATTGCTGATGTACCCCGTGAAAATGTATTATATGAGCCGTAGTAGGTTAAAAATAAAACGTTTTAATTAAAAGGTGTGCTGTCACAAAGGAAACGCTGGTCTGGTGCTGCTGGCAAAATGACAGAAATAACTACGCAGAGCTAATGTATGACCAAATACTAATTACATCCAAACAGCATGCAGAGCAGATGGCTAATTCAATATTAACAACAAATGAATGTGTCCAATAAATAATGTATTATAATGACTTTACTGTATCTCTTTGTTTGATAATGCTGCATAGTTCATACAATACTGGTGAAGAACTGAGGGCAAAAGAAGAGTTATTGCTAAATCAAAGTGTCTAAACTCAAGGTATCCACCCATATCTGAATCTTCATTAGCTTAATGTGAGTTTTCTTTTGTCATGACTTCATCCAATGACTAATACACTCATTAGTTGTGAGGTAGTTCTGGCAAAATAGTCTCAATTAATTATTCTTAATGTGTTATTGTGTCGTGTTTATTGTCCTTAATGTGTTTTATCTGGATTCTCAACCACAGGGCAAACAATCGGACAGCTCCTTTGCTTTAGCGTTATTCCTGCACATGGATTCATTGAAGTTTCAAGTTTTTAACTTTTTTTTTGTTGTTGTATTTTATAAACTAGATATTGTATTTATTTATAACTGCTACAAAATGTTTTGCTTTTAGAAATATATTAGTTATTGGTAAAAGCACAAGATTATATTTTTGTATATTTGAATGAAGATTGTTTTTTAAGTACTTGGGTGTGTTTCTTTTTCCCCCAGGATGACCGAATCCTGACCTCTAAATTTCCCCATCTTGTTACCAAGAATCCACCCAAAAGAATCTCTGGCACATGTTTCCACTCGTGTGTTTTCACCTTTTAGAAGTGCAGTTTTAGTGCGAAGTTGTAAAGTGAGATATTGACAGTGTACCACAGCCGGGTCAGATTTTCTGTGACCATATGGTGACAGGAAACCTGATCCTGAATTAGCAAACGTTTCTAATGTGAGTTGTAATAATTCTTCACCCCCCTTTCAAAAGTATTACTTTTACGTAAGCAGTAGACCACACAGCAATGTGGTTACCAAGACAATAGCAGAGATACTTGCTGCTATTCAAGCCAAATACTTCCATCAACTGGAGAATAATTTAGACAGTGTGCTCTATACAGAGACCTTGGCCAAACCCATGAAAGCAAAGAGAAACTACATTTAAATGTGGTTCTCAAAAAGCTGCTAAAAATATTTAATTAAAAAAAATAAAACAATAATAGTCTATTCTTCTTACAGTTTTTTTTTAAATCTATTATTTATTTGTAATTGCTAAAGAGCAAAACTTACTGCTTTTAAACAAGTCAAGTGAAATGTTTTCACCCATTTCATAATTTCCTGGGGGAAAATTGTAAGTCAAGTCTCTTAGAAATGTAATAACTTGCTTCTCATTAAGATTTGGAATGGTTTGAGGTATAAAACTATTTGTGTAAGTGTAAATGGTAAATGTAAGTTTGTTTAATAAGTAATATTTATTTATTAGTTATTTTTAATATTGCATATATGCTTTATGTATTACCTTCATGATAAAGGTTTTATAGTTGTTTTATAAGTTTGGTTGCAAGTGGATGATATAAATATGTGAATATCTAGTTACACAACATATTTAACAAGTTAATTTTCCCTATGGAGATGTAAAAAAATACATATTAATGTAATTATTGTTTATTTATTGTGTTTATGTTTTGGTGGTGGGTATTATTAACACAAAAGAAAAAATGGACTGAAAAGGAAGGAGAGGAAGAAATATCGGGGAAAAGAATGATGTACTTCTAAAATAAAAAGTTCGTGGACATTCCAACAGAGACAGTTAGCAGGACAATGTACCTTCACAAATGGCAAAGAATGTGGTGGTTTCTCAAGTTCTTATGGTGACACTAACAGGAATGGTGCAAATTTAATGTACATTTTTTTTGCTGATCACATACAATAGGGCTATTCTAAGCGTTTAACTTGGAAGAATGAGCCCATTATCAGTGTTAAAACTTCTCAGGAGGTTTTGCCGTCTCGTAGTAACCCGGATCTTTTGTTATATGCTTGAGTAAGCATCTTCATTTAACCCAGACGGTTTCACACTGCAATCCGAGGGCCCATAACTTCCAATCACAGTCGACCATCTGGGAGGAGACGGCCAAGTGAAGAATTACAGAGAGGGATTTAACCATTAAATCTGGCCAAATAGCGTGTAATCAAATATATATTTAAGAATATCACGTATGCCGTCATCTTGGAAAAGTCACATAGACCAGGAGATGATTCATTGTATGGGTGGATGCTTAGCAGTAGATTGCTAATGAATGGGTGTGTATTTACTCATGCTGTGGTACTAAACACAACAAACAGTAAGTCAGCTCTAACCAGAACACTCTGACCAGTAACTGCTTTATATGGTCATCCAGTCACAGGACATTTAATAAGTTGCCCAGCCCGGTTTATGCATAGACTCAACTTCTTTTTCAAACTGAAGGTTTTATGAAATTCAGTAGAGATATTTTGTTGTTGTCTGCTCTTTTTATGGTGCTCTTAAAATTATACAGCAATTTAAAAGATCTTTTCCTGGCAGAAAGGAAACGTGGGTCCTTGTTATTCATTAATTTGACCCAAAGAAGAAGGCAAGAGCTACTAGCATTTGTCATTGATGAATGCAGCACATTTCCTGGGCCTCAACCTGACAAGCTAGCACAACATCCCTCATGTGGACAACCAAAAAGTTGGGACTTTTCAGATTATATTTTAATGACACGCATAAAAAAAACTGTCTGTGTAAATTGGAATTGTAATCTTTGTTGATGCTGACATGTTATGCTAAGCAAGGGTTCTCAAAGCTGCATCTCTGGGATCATTTAGTGTTGGTCAATCGGCTGTCATGAATACATTAGAATACATCCTGTTTTAATACAGCCATCAGACCATTAAATGCAATCACAGTAAGTGGGATCAGTTACAGATGCTGGGAAAGTGATCCCAAGTTCAAAGTTATAAATGCGTATGAACTCGTCTGGGTTTAGATTAGCTCTGATGCTCGCCTGGAGTGTGGAGTCGCCTATTTGAGGAGAATCGTATTCATGCATGTCTGTTTTTGGAGCCGTCTGTCTGTGCAGAGCACGTTTTGAGGTGCCATCTAGCGGTGAAGGAAATGAGAGAGTAGCGCCAAGCGGCTGTTGCGTCATCAGTTCCTCACGAACCAAGCTCGAGCAGATTGGCCTATAGTTGAATCTCCTCTTTCCCCGTGGAAATGAATCGATATATGGTCCATCTTGCAAACTGTAGTAGTGTCGTTTAGAATACACACGTGTGCCGTGGTGGAAGCAAACACGTATTTGGTTGACATTTGGACTTAAGTGTTGACCTTTTATTTTATATTAAACGAAGTTTTGAGACAAAAGCTGGTGCTGCAGTGGAGGTCCAGGGTGAACAATCTGGATGTGTCAGGTAATAAACGTAAAGATATTTAATTAGTCACAGGTGCTATCCCTTACCAAAAAGTAGTATACTTAAAGAAGATGTGTACTATAGTGCCCTCTACAGTATAACAATGAAAACACAGATTCTAGGAACACAATTATAGCTAAAATACATTTAGACTTTTTCTAAGTATAAGTCAAGTATACTTAAATGTTATTTTAAGTATATTTCTGAGAAGTACATAAAGCCCATTTCTGAGAAGTACATAAAAAGTAGACTAAAAGTATACTTTCCTATTTTTAGTTTAAAAGAAGTATACTAATAGCACACTTGAATAAACTTCTTTTTCGTAAGGGATATCCTGTCATCAAACGGAATAAATAAAACTCTTTCCAAACAGGCGTTCCAAATAGCGATTTCCAATTCGTGAGCGAGTCGTTCTTTAGAGTCGGACCTTTTCGATGAATCGGTTGAACTGGTTTCATAAACTTAGTCTGTGTTCGAAATGGCATACTTGCTTACTGCTTACTGCCCAGTACACAGTGCATACTGCCTTCTATTTTTTTTAAGGAATAGTGTGTGAAACAGTATACAATAAGCAATAAATGTTTCAGAGTAGTATGACAGAGTAGTATGACACGCATTCTGAGTAGACAAACACTGAACATTAATTCAGCACAGCTGTCAAGGTTGTTACCTTAGAAACAACTGAGCTAACTGTTCTTTTTACAAAGGCTTGTTAATAAGGCTTCATACTAGCAAACAATGCTATATTGCCCAATTGAACACATTTCATAATTGATTAACTTTACATATTGGACAGAACTAAATCAACACTGAGCTGTCTTTATTGATATTTTTGGTAGTTCCACTAAGTGGCGATATATTAAAAAGCGATATATTCTAGTTACACTAAGTGCAAATACTGATCAATTCTGTTTACACTAAAATAGCAGCATTTTCTTTAGCAACAGGAGTGTAAATAGTAGTTAGGTGGCAGATATTTATATTTCAGTACTGTAGTAGATTATAAAACAGTATGCAATAACATTGAGTATAAATTATCATACTTATAAACTTTATTAGATGAATGCCACTTTATTGGGACAAAAACCTACCTAAAGCATACACAACACTGTATTGAGGCGTTTTATTTCCACTTTTCAAATATTTACTTTCTATCTGATCTGGTGTGATGGGAAAAGGAGAAGCATGAGTTTGACAAAAGCCAGGGTCGAACTCGGGTCGACTGCGTCAAAAGCAAACAGCTCACGTTTTATTTGCTGCGCCACTGAAACTTCGGAATTGCAAGTGTCTTTTGCAGTGCTGTTAATCACAGCCAGGCATTGGTGGGCAGAGTTAATGTAAATAGCCTCTGCCAACAAATTGGTCTATTTGTCCTTAGAGTAATACACTCCATTTCTTTTTAGAGCTGCTTGACAGTGGAATTGAATTCTTTTTTAGAGCTGCTTGACAGTGGCTGTTTGCACTGTTTGCATAATTGAAATATTTTTATTTATACATTTTATTTATATATTATATTGCTGCAATATTATTATTATTATTAATATCTTTGAAAGAATCTGTACTGTATAAAAGCCCTATAAAGATAAAGGTGACGTCATTTGATGATCGGAAACGTGCTGTAGAGATTAAAGTACAATTTATGTCCTACTAACAATACTGTTTTTAGATACACAGCGATAGTTTGTAGTTTACATGTATATGTATATACGTACAAATACAAGTGTTACATTTATAATTACTATTCCCCACCTCTAGTTCACTAGCGTTTGAAGATGAAACGTCACATGGAGCGCGTTGCGTTCTGGGAAACAGTATCCCATGCAGCGTCTTCAGATGCATACATCAAATTTCAGCCAATGTAGCAGGTGATCCGGGCATTCCATGCATACAGAAAATTCACATACTATTCACAGTATACACACAGCATCCTGCAATATAGTATGGTAGTATGCCATTCCGAACAGCTTCTGTACTGATTTCAGTGTACTTGAGTTATATTTAGCAGATTCTGGCGAATATAGTAGGTCATCCGGGCATTACATGCATACAGGAAATTTGCATATTATGCACAGCATACATACTGGATACTGCAGAAATAGTAAGAGTAGTATGATAGTATGGCATTTCGAACACAGCCTTAGTTATTTATTCACGCATCCGACTGAATCGGTCTGGACGGTTCTC